TCGATGCAACTAAACAAAGTATAGTGAATCGATGACAACCAAGCACCTCACCCACCAATTCAAGCTGGCTATCAACGATGCCCTGCGATCTTCCCAAGAGACACGAGCATTGATGCGCGCCCGGTCCGGCAAGCAGCGCTTCCCTGTAGCGCAGTGGGTCGAGGATCTCGGCATTCTGCAGACCACCTCGATCCGGAAGCACGAGAAGCACTCCAAGCGCAACGAGCGCAGCTCCTGGAGAATCTCCAGCACCAGTACCTTGGTGCCCGATCGCAGTCGCAACATGCACCTCTCGTTGAGCCCCGACACCAGTCGCGAACACAGCCGATCCCGCAGCTCGACCATCTCACGCCCGCCCAGCCGGGCGATCAACGCCGATCTGCGACCCGGTGCACCCCGACCCGGCCACAGCCGCGTGCCCTCACTGCCCGCAATCCTGCCTTCCAACCTGAGTCTGGCCAGTAACGATCCTGACACCGACACCGAAGCAAGACGTCGACCCTTGTCCTCGATCCCTCGCGCAGGACCTCGGGTGGTGTACTCCTTCGAGAACGAGGGCGAAGAGCTCGAAAACATGTCGGTCGCACCGCACACCCCTCCCCACTTCGCCAACTCGGGCGCCAGCACCCCAACCCTGGGCGCCGGCCCCGAAGACGGCTTACTGGGTCGCAGACCGAACCTGTCCATGATGAGTCTCGTCAGTGTCGACGACATCGTCAAGGAGAAGCAGGACTACAACCTCCAGAAGGTCAGCCCCTTCTTCACGGACGTCAACAACGAGTACGCCGACAAGTTCGAGAAGAAGCTGGCCGACCTGAACGGCAAGAACTCCGAGGACCAGCTGTGCATCGAGGAATTCCTCGAGAAGAGCGAGAAGGACTGGTTCAATCGCTACCGCGACGTCAAGTTGGGCAAGTCGCCGCTGCCCTCGCCGTCGCCCTCGGTCTTCCGCTTCAAGGTCAATGACAACAGCCCCCCGCCGACTCCCGGGTTGATGGGTCCGGTGGAGGATCCGAATGCGGGCCAGTTCCTCCTCCCCAAGGACTATGTGCCCCCTACGGGGTTAAAGCGGTTCATGTTGATGAAGATCGGCGATTGGCCTGTTTATTCGATTGTTCTGGCCATTGTGAGTTCCCACTGTCGATCCTATTCTTTTTGTTTCATGCAATCGACTGACAGGATACGATAGGGTCAAATCCTCGCCTTGAACTCCTATCAGATCACGCTTCTGAATGGGCAGATCGGAGAGACGGCAGAGAAACTGTACGCGCTCGCATCCATCTATCTGGGGTCGTCGATTGTATGGTGGATGGCCTTCCGACTGATGCCGTCGGTCTATGTGTTGACCATTCCTTTCCTGGTATGTCTCTTGTTTAGTCGGGAATAAGAGCATCGAAGCTAAATATTCACAGATGTACGGGTTTGCCTTTCTCTTCGTCGGTCTCGCCGGTCCCATCTCCGGCGGTGCGAGCCAAACCTGGCTGCAGAATGTGGGAACGGGGTTCTACTCGTTTGCCTCTTCGAGCGGATCGATCTTCTTTGCTCTCAACTTTGGAGATGAAGGTATGTGGATGCACAACTGCGGTTTGAAGGGACACAATATATCTGACACCTCTGTCCAGGCGGAGCGCCGCTTAGCTCCTGGATCTACCGAGCCACCGTCATCCAAGGCAGCCAGCAGCTTTGCATCAGTTTTCTCTGGTACTGGGGTAGTTGGATGGCGAGTCTCAACCAAGAGGGCAGCATGCGATTCAGCCTCAGCATGACCAATCCGCACGCATTGCTTGGTATTGGCGTCGGTCTCGCGTGTTTCCTGTGGCTGCTGGGAGGCTTGGTGTTCTTTGGCCTGCCGTCGTATTACCGCCAAACGCCCGGACGAGTACCGACATTCTACCTCTCGCTCTTCCGGCGTCGCATCGTTCTTGTATGTCCCTCCCCGCTTTCTCTGCAGCCCGTCCTAGTTCTAATCTCCAATCTTGCAGTGGTTCTTCTACATGGTGTTCATCTCGAACTACTGGCTCTCGGCTCCGTACGGTCGCAATTGGCTATACCTCTGGTCCAGTAAACACGCCAAGGTGTGGCACATTGTGCTGCTGGTTCTCCTCTTCTTCATTGGGGTCTGGGCGGCTGCCCTGTGGATCTGCCACGTCCTTTCCAAACGACATGCCTGGTTCCTTCCAATCTTCGCCATTGGTCTCGGCGCCCCGCGCTGGGCGCAGATGCTGTGGTCTACCTCCAACATCGCAACGTATATCCCCTGGGCGGGAGGTCCAGTGGCCGGGGCCATCCTTGGAAGAGCCTTGTGGCTCTGGTTGGGAGTGCTGGACAGTCTCCAGGGTGTTGGTAAGTCTCCTTCCTACCCCACCCACAATCGCATCAAATCACCCCAGAATCGCAAACTAACCCATCTCAGGATTCGGAATGATCCTCCTCAACACCATGACTCGCTTCCACGTCACCTTCACCCTCCTGGCGGCGCAGGTGGTCGGGTCGGTGGCGACGATCCTGGCCCGGGCCACGGCGCCGGATAAGCTCGGCCCCGGCAACGTCTTCCCGGATTTCTCGGCGGGTGTGGCCGCCGGGCTGAGCAAGGCCGACTTTTGGGTGTGTCTGTTGCTGATGCTCTCCATCAATGTGCTTTGCCTCTTCTTCTACCGCAAAGAACAGCTTTCGAAACCTTGATTGTCTTAATTGCATTGAACTGCGTGGTTGTGATTAGATTATCTCATTTTCTTGTCTTCTTGCCTGGCTAGCGTGCGTCTTGGCTTCGTTTGTCTTGTTTGGTTACTAATCGTTGAAGATATATCCGGGTGCATTTTTCCCGGGGCATGATGTTGCTGTCTATAGTGAGTTCATAGCATCCATGGGGCATTGTATGATTAGATTATCTTGTGGTTCGCAGCTGACTTAGCTGCTTGAATATAATTTTTATTGATCGATGTTGAATGGCAGCTCACGTATATGCAGATGCCACTTAATCGAACAACAACTTAACAACATAATTTACCTAATGCTGGCTGTCAGCGGGGAATGGCGGAATGAGTCCGTGCGTCCAGCTCGATGCGGACTAGGGAGAACAGGGGTCACAGACTCACAGCCCGTCAAGGGCCCCCATTCCAGACTAGTTAAATTGTCCATGCATTATTCAGGGGAGCGGATCAATTGGTGTCACCCCCGCACATATATAAACAATACGAGGCGCCCTTCCTTTTGGCAAGGGGAGCTGCTCACCTGAATTCTCTCAACCTTCCACACTTGCTGTTGCTATTGCTGTTGCTGTTGTCGTAGCTTGTTCTGCCACTCTTTTCAGAGCAACACGACTGTCATTCATTTATTTCCTCATTCCCTGGATTTCATCCACCAATCCACTCTTTCAACTAATTTGTCTAACTCAGTCCCTCATTTCCTCGTGAACAACCGAAATGACTCGCTTTCTGTCTGTAATCATCGCCCTCTGCGCCTGCGCGCACTGGGCCCTCGCCGCCCTGACCTCCGACCAAATCGCCAATTCGCTGAACGAGCTGGCGCAGCAAGGCTTCGCCGCCAAGGATCTGGTCTTGGAGATTAATTCCACCGCGGACGCTTCCCCTATTCAGGTTAGTGTGGTTGCCTAAGGTCCCATCCACATACATGGTCTGATCATTTGCCCGGAGTCTAGGACGTGTACGCCGAAATGAGCACCATCGTCATCGAGGTCCTCCAGAACGTCAACTTCATGACCAACACCCCCGTCATCGCCGACCAGGCCGAGCAGCAGCTGGTGTACGAGGGGTACTCCAACGTAAGCGGCTGCTTTGCTTCCCGCTTGAAAAAGGAACCATGTACTAATGCACTGTGGTCCAGTTCGTCCAATCCCTCCTCGAACTCATGGACGCCTTCTCGACCAGCGCGACCAAGCTGAAGTCCCTCGATGAGTCGACCAAGGATCGCGTGCCGTCGAACGTGCGCACGCTGGAAAGTGCTGTGGATGTAGGTACTCCCTCTTCGTCTCGATTGCTGGCGTGGGGGATGAATACGTGCTGACCCGACCATCGCCAGGCATACTTCTACAACATCATCGGCCTCTTCCCCGCCAACAGCTCCTACAACGCCCAGGCCAACAACCAGAAGGCCCAGGTGGATACCCACTGCTTCCAGGCGATCTGGGCGTTCGATGCCACCGCGGCGAGCCAGACGGCGACGACGACGGCGCAGCAGTCGCGGAGTACTGGGCTGCTCGGCTTGCGTCGTCGGGGGGTATATCGCGCTTAGTCGGGTGGTTCTTCCTAAGCTTATGGGTGAGGATGAGTGAGGGGATGGATAGGCGAAAAACCCCAGGCATCTGTCCAGATATCCTTTTTGGCCGTTCTTTGGGCTCTGGCTGGACGTGTTTCTTTTATCTTGTCGATATAGTTGTGTACATTATATCTTTGTAATGAAGAAGATGTGGACTGGACGCGTACTGGGTTATCTGCCGGTCGGATGTCGAGGAGAAGCATTTGCGCGGTGTCTGAAGTGGAAGCGTAACCGTGGAATACGAATTGTGGGCTTGGCAGTCGGGTGACATCAGTTCTGGGGCTACTCTCCTGGCGCGTCGCTTCAACGCGGTTAGAAGATACTAAGTCTATACCGCTCAGATCAGCTGACCCAATGGACCGCTTTACAACCTTTTATACTCACTACGAGTAGATCATGATGCATGTACCAAAGAAGTTTCACAAACGTACAACCTGACTTGGAAGAGAGCCCCGTACTTTTGAACTGTGCCTCGCATAATCAATCCTGATTAGCGGATTAAAAAAAAACACATAACATGGAACCAGGTGGAACGGCCTCGTCTCCGACATTACAAAACATGCTTCAACCTGAACAAGCATTAAAGCAATGCGCTAGAACTTTTTCAGGGACTGTTCCTGTTTGTTTCGGCGGTCTTCCTATGCCACACTCAGAAATTCCCAAAGCACTGCTCTTTGACTGCTTTCCAGCCCCCCCCCCATCCTCCTACGAGCAAGTCAACAAATTCAATGCGCACCGGTGTTCCGGGGAGAAGGGCATGTCGTTTCCGTTTTCTTCTTCTGGATCCTGGCATGCACAATGATATACGGCTTGTTGCAGTCCACAGACACTGAAGGGGTCTCATACTCCTGGACCGCCAAACCGTCGATTTTGATCGCATACTGGTCCAGGGAACACGTGGTGAGGGACGGTGAACAGGCGACATGCGCATGGACGGCGGTCAGTCGGTAGTCGACGTCCACGACGTACCTGAAATGGACCTGTCTGTCCCCAAAAAAGGCCGTGAAGGGCCCGACATTGACGGCGTTGACGTTGATATCGTTGTAGTTGGGGAGACCGCCCACCCACAGCGTTCCCCCGAGCGGGGCCGAGTCGATCTGGTTCGACCATCCCCAGGGTGGGTTGCACTCCAGTGCGACCCCTGGTGGGGACGCTGAATGCCCGAACGCGGAGCCGAAATCGCACCACTGTCCGCCATCGTCGCACTCACACTTGGTGGTGAAGCTCCAGAAGGTGAACCAGGGATTACAGGATGTCTTGATGCATTGCGCAGGGACGGCAGAGCTGGTCGGGCTCGCGGGGCTGCCGCCAGCGGTTCCACCTTCGGCACCCAGCGTGGGACTTTTCACGCTGGCATGCGTCACAATGTAGATGGTCTTGTCCGGGCACCGGTTGTCATTCGGCAGGACCTCGCTCAGCGGGATATCGCAGGATGCGGTGGCGCCCGCGACCGTGCACCGCGGGGATCCCTTGTTCGAGCCCCACGGATAGCCTCCGGGGTTGGTATCGGTCGGTCGACTGGTTCCCAGCCACACACTCACCGTTTGATATTGGTAATCCTTGTAAGACGGGTATCGCACCTGCAGGACCTGCTTGTCGGCACTCAATGATACAAGGACCTGCTGTCCGGTGGGCTTTTTACCCAGGATCCATTCGGCCGACGAACTCTCCCCGAGCCCGGTGAGGGTGGGAGTACAGTCCGCGCGTTTGTGAGTCCGTGCAGCCACAGCATGGGTCCTGGACGGGCTCGCAAAGCAAAAGTTGCCCAGCAGGCTTACGACGAGGCTGATGAGGAGGATTAGACGAGACATGGTATATTGAGTAGTTCGTTAATGTTGATGGGTACATGATTCTGAGTTACGCGGGGGGAGGGGGGGCCTTCTGCAACTTATAAACAACGTCATTGTATGCAACAGAAATATGTCAAGGGTAGACAAAGGGTCCCTATCGGTGTGCCAAGCTGAGGTCCATAACAAAGCATGCAGAATCCCACGTCACAGATACGAGGAAAACTAATTCCGAGGGCTACCATTAGCCCTCCAGTTGGAGCAGCGGCGATCATCCGGGGAGCTCAGGGCCTGGCCAAGGCCTCAAACGACAACCGGGGTTCCAACATCTACCGCTATTGGCTAGCCAACGAACAAGGTAAAAGAAGAGTGCTGGGGCCATTTTCGTCTTTGTCCTCGGAGACAATGCCAAGAAGAGAACCAACAGAGTTCGAAAAATCCAGGGGTTTGGGTTTTGGAGCTTTGCTATAGAAGCGGACTTGTTTTGCGCAATCATCATGGTCAGTGGACGGAGTAGCTTTTCTTTGTACGAGCTGCGGTCATCAGACTCGGTAACCAGAGAAAGCGGATCGATATTCTAAGCGGAACCGAGGTAAGTGAATCTGACAACAGCCGTCACTCTGCAGATTGGCCTTTGGTTTAAACTTTCACTCATCCTTCCTTGGGCCATATTGTTTTAAAATTATTTTGTCTTTTCTCTTCATTGACTTTCTATATGAATCTCATCTCTTCTTGTTATAACTGCGTACCCGTCTTGTGGAGCTTATCAGTCCCTCTCTTTACTTGCTCCCGGAAAAGCCCGAGGGAGATCACGTGACACAGGTGATTCTCAGCATAGGGTCACCTTTTTCAAGTTGTTGACTGAGAATTGAGTATGTCGGACAGGAAAAAAAAGTATTGAATAACCAGGTACAGCACACCGTATGTAATGCTTAGAAGAATTTACTGGTTGACTAGCAAACCAGCTCATTCACTCAACCCCGTTCAATAGATGGTTTAAGGACGGCTGAGTGGACAGGACGCCCTACTTTCTACACCCTATGGTCGTATGCGCTGAATTAGAGCAGTGAAAAGTGCTATGAAACGTGATGCAAAGCTAGATGCCGAGGACGCCAAACGGATGCACGTTTTTAGCACTGTCTGGTTCAGAGATATGGAAATATTCCCCCAAAGGCTCAAGCCCTGCTGCGGGACCTGTCGGTCGCACGAGCTCGGATATCAGGAGACCGCCGCCTGCCAGGGCCGACTCCGGAAGTTCCTCGGAAGACGGATTTCTCTGTCCAATGGCTGTCGACGAGAATGGCAAATGCACAAGACCACATCCTTGATCCATCCTTGCACACGACCACATGTGCCATTTTGCCATGACTAGTGGCTGGTGGTTTGTCTAGTGAGATGCTTGAGCAGGCATAAGCACACGCCCGCCCCGCCACGCCCCACTCAGCTAGAGTCAAGGTCAGAAACGTGCTACCAATCTCCACATGCCATTGGTTTGTTCCTGTCAAGCACGTGCCCAGCCCTAAGGTGGTAGATAGTAGTACTAGGACGGTACTGGGTAGGTAAGAAGTCCTACTGAATGAATTGAATCGCCAGATGCGCGCGTGAGACTAAACTGGCACCATTATTTAAGTCGCTGCCGTCTCCCTTCAAATGGATCTCTCCTCTTGCCTTCGTCCTCAGCTTCCTCAGCAAGATCAACCCCAATGGCTTCATCAGTCGCTGCACTTGTCGCCCTGGCCGGTCTGGTCACTGGTGCCACCATCACCACCACGGAGCCTTCTTTGTCTGAGATTCGACAAGCTCAGGCGACGACGGTCCCTCTGACCTGGACCTCCAATGTCACTGGCAAGGCCTACGACCGCTTCTACCAGATCTGGTTGGAGAATGTGGTATGTATTTTCATCTTTCTGGTGTATGTGATTTGAAGCTCACGTTCCCTCTGCAGGACTATGAGAATGCTGCCAACGATACCAACCAGCAATGGCTGGCCAGTAAGGGTATCACCTTGACCAACTACTATGGTACCGGTCATCCTTCGCAGCCCAACTATGTTGCTGCTGCCAGTGGAGACAACTATGGCATGGACAATGGTAAGTCCACTGTCGCTTCTTCAAGTTCTTGATAACAGACGTTAACGATAATATAACGCAGATGATTTCCATGACATCCCCGCCAATGTCTCCACCATTGCCGACCTCCTGAACACCAAAGGCATCTCGTGGGGCGAGTACCAGGAGCATATGCCCTTTCCCGGTTTCCAGGGATACAATTTCTCCAACCAGGTGACTTACGCCAATGACTACATGCGCAAGCATAATCCCCTGGTCTCCTTCGACTCGATCAGCAGTAATGACACCGCTCTGCGCCTGATCAAAAACTTCACGACCTTTTACGACGACCTCAATAACCACGTACTCCCGCAATGGGCCTTTATCACCCCTAGTAAGTCAATCTGTCTTGGGCTATCCGATCCCAAGGAAGCATGCCTAACATCTCCCAACAGACATGACCAACGATGCGCATGACACAAACATCACCTTTGGCTCCCAATGGCTCCGGGGCTTTGTATCCGAGTTGATGAACAACACCTATTTCTGGGACAACACCCTCCTGCTCCTGACCTTCGACGAGACCGAGACCTACGGGGTCCCCTCCAGCGAGGCGTACGCCGAGCGTAACCGCGTGTTCAGCGTCCTGCTCGGCGGTGCCGTCCCCGAGCATCTGATCGGCACCGAGGACGACACCGTCTACACTCACTACTCGACCATCGCCACCGCCTCGGCGAACTGGGGGCTCCCCTCGCTCGGCCGCTGGGATTGCGGCGCCAACATCATCCAGTTCGTGGCCGACAAGGTCGGCTACACCAACTGGGCGGTCGACAACACCCACCTCTTCGTGAATGTCTCCCTGCCCGGCCCCCTCTCCGAGGCCGACTACTCCCAGTACCGGCCCACCTGGCCCATCCCCGCCACCAACGCCTCCTGCTCGGCGGGCTACGGGGTTCTGCCCGCCGTCGTGGACGCCTATCAGGGCCAGGAGCCCACCTACAACTACACCTCGCCGTTCCCCTACGATGCGCCCTATGGGTTGAATGTGGGCACGTCGTACTCGCGGAACGGAACGACCTATGTTTCCGGGGTGAATGCGACTGGTGTGATCGGCGATGACTCCGTGTCGAATTCCACCTCCTCCTCTTCCTCTGCTCCCTCCTCGTCGGCGGTTTTCACGGGTGCGGCTGTTTCGGAAATGAGGGCTTCGGGGGCGGCCTCGGTGGCTGCGGCTGGCTTGGTGGCGCTTTTCGGCTTGTTGTAAAAAGATTTGAAGGATTCGATGACGGAATGGCATGAGCTTTTAATACACGCACAACCTGTTTTGTCTTGATAGTAGTTGAGGATAAATAATTCACATATTAAGCCATGGACAATCCCTCCTTTGTGCATATTATTGGATAATGCAAGTTCCCTCAGGGAAGGCCAACCTTGAGAGGGTCCAAATCGTCACATTCTTCGGTCGCGCTTCTTTAGAAACTATGTACTCGGATTTGGGAGTATATATTCCTCTACAGAAAGTGAATTCTGTCCAAGATAAGAACAGGATGAGAACAAGTTGGACATTTCTCGCAGAAAACCTCATAACTACTCCATTCTAAAAACTGTAAAATGATAAATAGAGATATAGTAGGCTACCTTGGAGAATATTTTATTCAAAGGAAATGAAAGTCCTTAGATATCGAATCAATACCGTGGGAGCGATGAGTTCGTAGTACAAATATGTCAAGATTCAAGGTAATAACAAAAGCCGTAGATCGGAGCACGCCAGACCGACCGCGAATCACCAAGCCCTCTGAGCGCGAATGTATTTCGTCCAGAAGCGCGCGCGCGCTGGGTCATCCACCGTTTTGATCGTCTGCCACTCGCCGCCCAGCTCGAGCAGAGTGTCCGGTTGATCCACGAGACTGAGCCACTCGGCCACACCCTCCGGACGAGAAGACGCACCCTGAAACCCGTTTGGATTACCGTATTTGATGAAATTGGCCCACAGGGTCGAGACCTTGTCGCCGATCACCCGATCCGTCTCCGTCCATGGGCGGAGGTCGTTCGTGATCAGACTGTTGAACGTGTAGGCGAACTCGGCCCCGTGATACGCGCCCCCGACCGGACCCTTCTGGTTGGTGAACCCCGGAACTTTGGGCTGGGAGTGGTCCGGCTGCCAGTTGCGCCACGGGGTGATAGGGTGGGTGAAGTAGTAGCCGTACACCGCGGATTGGGTCTTCTGGTGATACTCCTGCGCCCAGAGGGCGATGTTGTTGCGCGTGTTGTCCCGAGCGGCCTGGTTCCATGTTTCCAACGGACCCTGGCCGGTCTCCTGGTTGCGGAGAGGGTAGAGTTCGTGGAATCGCTCGACGTAGGCGGGGCTACCCTTCCCGTACGTCGAGTTGGGGCCGAGACGACCCTCCACGCAGTCGAGAAAGTCCTCGTAGGTGAAGCGCGGCTCGTTGTAGGTGCCCCCTTCCTCGCTGTTCATGCCCGCCATGACGGGCACGTCGTTGGGCGGCTCACCCGCGTGGATCTCACTCCAGGGCTTGGGGATCACGTAGCCGTCGAGAATAAGGCGGAACAAGGGGGGAGGTCCCCAGTATCGCCGGTCGCGTTTGGTCGAGACTTCGCGTAACTTGTCCAAATCGTCGAAGTTCCGAAACTCGTTGACACTCTTGATGCCGAGCTCGCGGAGAAGTTGCACACCGTCTTCTTCCGCTTCCTGGAGGGTTCGGTAGGACATGGGTCCGTTGGCGAGGGCAGGCTCCTGGAACGAGCGGGGCCCGGATTGCAGGATCACGCCGTGAAGAAGCCCTTTCGCTAAGGGAGAGGACAGGAGAGTGTGGCTCATTGCATTTCCAGCCGACTGGCCGCCGACGGTGACCTGGTTGGGGTTGCCACCGAAGACGGAGATGTTCGATCGCACCCACTTCAGTACCTCCACCGCGTCCAGCATCCCGACCATCCCGGACGTTCCGGACGGCGACTCGGCGCTGAGTTCGGGATGGGCAAAGTATCCGAAGATCGCTGTTCGCTCTTGGTGTCAGTGGGTGGATTTGCCTGGCACTGGTGCTGAGCGTATCAAGTTGACTTGACTTACACAGTCGGAAGGAGGGCACCACGACGATGACTCCCTTTTGCGCCAGTCCAGTCCCGTCGAAGTTGGGGTCTGCGCTGCCGCCCTCGCGGAATCCACCACCGTGATACCAGACATAAACCGGGTACGGTCTCTTTGTCTCCAGATCATTGCTGGGCTGGTAGACGTTGAGGTACAGGCAGTCTTCCGACTGGGGATGGCCTTTCAAGACATTGGGGTAGCGTGGATCGGGTGGTGCTTGGGGGCACACCGGGCCGAAGGTATCGCATACTCTGACATCGTCCCAGGGAGTAATGGGCTGAGGTGGCTTGAATCGATTGGCTCCAGTAGGAGGGGCCGCGTAGGGAATGCCTTTGTAAATTGTGATCCCAGGGTCAAGAGGGCTGGGAAGTCCCTGAATGAGACCGCCCTCAACCTGGACGGGTGGTAATGTACTGCCCATTTTCGACTGTGACTGACGGTGAAAGAATGACAATCTCTCATTGATGAGAAGCAGGACATATCAAGCCCGGCTTATAATACTGAAAGCTTGTTAGCGTGCTCGGGGATTATTCACCCCTCATTTGATTAGGGTTGCCGGGCGGATCTAATCTCAGCCGAGTCTCGCCTCCGCATTTTCCCCCGCTCTTTCTGTCTGCTTTCCTTCTCCCAACTCATGCTTCGCTGCGCCTCGCTTCCACCCTGGCCGTTTTGACAGATCCCCGTCAGCCATCATGACAGCTCCTACTCGGCAAATTCAGCAGTTCCCACCAGATTCCAGCCAGACCAACCCGCTCCTCTCGTCCGAGCTCCCCCGCAAGCGAAAGCGCGTCAAGACGGGTGAGTCTGATCAGCTGGCGTCTGTAACTGAGACGGTTGTGTGACATTTCCTCGGCCCATCTAGGCTGCCTGACCTGTCGCGCACGCAAGGTGAAGTGCGACGAGACACATCCACTTTGCAACAATTGCCGCAACCTGGATGTGGAGTGTCAATGGGGCCAAGGATCCAGACGACAGGGATGTGAGTCATCTCATCAGCCGTAAGGGGGCATTGGACATGCTCTCGATTGCTCATCCGTCAACCAGCTACTGCATCTCTTTCCGATCAAGCCGGTCGACCCTCCGATCCACAGACCAGAGCCGGGCCCCGTTCTCCCGCGTGCTTTACCTGTCGCTACGCCCGGTCCAGATGCTCCAAGACCCGCCCGTCGTGCACCCGCTGTGCCATCTACGGCCACGAATGCAGTTACCCCGAGACGAATAAGGGACGGTCGCTGACGTCCTCTGCCCAGTCCTTGATGCAAAGACTTCGAAGTAGTCGCTCACCGTCGCCTGCCATCTCCTTGGAAGATGAGTCGAGAACCATTGCTCCTGTCTATGACCGTGCTATGGTATCTCCCCCCGAGCTTCCCAGCGACGAGAGCCGTGTCGGGTTCAGTTATGAAACAATACAGGAGAATCTGGTGATGAACACTGGCTTGCTCAACACATGCAATGGGTTGGATGTGTTTGGTCCTGATACTGTTCACAACGTTTTGTTGCCGACCCGTTCCGACTCAATACTCAACTCCGCTAGTCCCAGTAAGACGCAAGCGGACAGGTCTCATCAACCCGCTCAAATCAATCTGCCTAGCCAGGATCGACTGGAGCGTCTTGCTGTGGCTTTCTTTCTTCACGTTCATGTCTATCGCGCCAATGCGTTTCTCCACCGAGACCGAACGCTCACTGCCATCCGCGATGGAACCTTATCCGCGGCGATTGTCCTCGCTCTCTGTGCTGTTGGGGGGAGATTCTCCTTTCCTCCGGAGTCTGAAGAGACAGTGATGGCCTGGGCAACAGATGCAGGTGTTCAAATCATAGCATCGACGGACGTAAACAGAGACAACATCGCGGCTTCCCTTCTGCTAACCATCTATTATCAACAGGCGGGTCAGTTTGCACGATCCCATCTCTGGTCCGGGATTGCCATTAACCAGGCAATTACCCTCGGCCTGCATCGCGAAGCCCCACTAAGAAATCACACCTTCGTCGAGAGCGAACGCGATCGACGGATATTCTACGCATGTTACGCGATGAGCCGGCTCATATCCAACGGCGCACCGGAGTCGATTCAGTGCCCCTCGTCTCGCATCAGGCTCAAGCTACCGTGCGACGGCTTCAACTACCGGATGGATGTTTCTGTGGAAACACCATACGCCCAGTTGGAGGAGGCCGAGGGGCCCTCAGGGTCAGCTGACACCCACCAATGCGTGGGAGCCATAGGGTTTTGGGTGCGCTTAGTCGGGGTCCGAACTATGACTCGGCGATACTTTCACACCCTCACCGAAAGCCAACAGCAGCAGCAGCAGCAGGAAAGCGACACACGAGCAGTGTCCGGGGGTAACCAAAGATGCCCCATGATATTACCGTCATTAGCACCGTGGAGTCCCAGTTCCCCGTATGCAGCATGCATGGCCAAGCTAGCCGTCATCCGAGAGTCGCTACCTATCAGGTTCCAGCTCTCCCGCGAACGCGTCGCGCAGCTCGCCGAATCTCCCGTCCTCGGCCAAATCGTGCTGTTCTACCTGTGGTGGAACATATGCCACATTGAACTATGCAGCATGGCGTTGACGGGGTACGCGCAATCGTTGGACGAGGATACTCTCGCTGCCGCTCCGGATGGCTGGGTCCAACAGACGCGCCAGAAATGCTTGCGGCATGCGCAGGCTATAACTGATGTGCTGGAACTCCTTGATCGGGAGCTATCGGGGCATCCGCTGACGATCTACGACCATACCATCGCGCATGTAGTTTACCTGTCCCTTCGAGTGCAGTTGGAAGTCGGACTCGTAGAGGATGAGATCCCGTCTCGGTTGAGGAACCGATTTGAGATGATGCTCGCGTTTGTGAAACGAACAAGTACCTATTTCCGATCGGTTCAGCTTGTGGTGAGATTAAGCCTTGCTCATCCTTGATTCCAGTCTGCATCGACCGCCCCTGCTAATGAGTTTATCCGTGCTTTCTAGCTCAAGGAGATGCATCGCATGCTCGCCGACCATGGAGTAGTTCCTTGCAACCCGCACCAGGAGAGCCAGTCGTGAGTTCGCTCTTTGTTTATCGATCCTCACTACCACTTCTCCTGCAAGCACAGACTGAATCCCCTCCTAGTAGAGCCGAAACACCTCCATTACCTTGGTTCCGACGTCAAAAGAGCCTGGATAGCCAAAGGCTTGCAGAGCAAGCAGCTATTGTGAGTAGATCGAAAGATAAGGGAAGCCAATACTATCGTCCTGATACTAATTGACACGCTTTCCCGACGCAGGAAAGTATAGAAATTGACGCGATTCTCCTCGATCTCTTGCCCGACTGCACAACAACGCACGGGACTACCGGCTGGATGCAAAGACTTGAAGTTCGGGACGCTATTCTGTCACAGGTGCGTGAGTCCTAAACACTACACCCTCTATTCTCTGTGCAGACAACTTAAAAATTTCCTTAATTCAGTGCCCCCCTCCAAGTATAGAATGGAACACGATTCCTGGTCTCTGGGCTCCACAACACACCCGTAGCTCATCGCGGGCGGCGAATGGCTTGGATAGCACGAGGATTGACTTGGAACCGGGTGTTAGTATTTGCTCGTGGTGATTGCAAAGGTTTCTCTGGGCAGAGATCTATAGTGTTTTGTCTTGCCGGGAGGTCTCTGGGGTTGCATAAGCTTAGAGCCGTGTGTGTAAAAGACTCGGTGACGAGATAATCTGTTTACAACAAATGCTAGGATAGGAGCGATAACCAAGTGCCATGAGATACATGCTTCATGCGAAATAATGCCGGGGGCATATGACGTCCCCTATAATTTGTTTATTTCATGGAGGCCCAAAAAATAACATTGCAACGATTAGACTGTCACACGTCATCTTCTCCTCGTGGGGAGACCTCTAGAAAACCTTCCCCCCTCTAGTTCCTAGGCGAGCCTCGCCTACGTCCCCCTCGCTTCCCGATCGGGTAAACCCGCCCGATGCCGTGAGAGTAGCGAGCGAGCGAGCATACCGAGCGTCTTCCCCAGCCTAATGCGTATTTGTTTCCGACGTGCCTGTTCATGCGCTCTGCTCTCAGTTACTGGCTTGGGGTCTTTACTACTGCCTTGGTTGAATCTGACTAACTCATTTATCAGCCTATTTGACTCCGAATCAGGTGGATGTCAGTGATACCAAACGAGATCTCCCACATACCACCGTCCATTGACCTATACACCAACCTACACCAACAAAGAACGATGTTAGATCAACCGGCAAATTCTTCCGACAACGAGAAACATGCCGCTACCCAGACGATCACAGCCCCAGAAACCGCGGCGACTTCCACCAGTAACACCGACAGCGACAGCAGCACCCGCCAAGATGCGCCCGTCCAAACGCAGACGAATCTCCTCCCAATGCGCCAGCTTCTGATTGTCTTTTCTGGCCTATCGACTGCGATGCTATGCTCTATGCTCAATCAAACTATGTAGCCCACCCAGACCTCCCCGTCGCTGTCTATGATGTTATTAACAGGAAACATATAGCGTCGCCACCGCCCTCCCTACCCTGGGCGCGGTATTTCACGAAGCCGACATCGTCGCGTGGGTCGGCACCGCCTACCTCCTCACCAGCACCGCCTGTCAGCCCCTGTACGGCCGGCTGAGCGACATCTTCGGTCGGAAGGTGATCCTGCTCGGCTCGTTGGGGTTTTTCCTGTTTGGAAGCGTCTTGTCCGGAGTGTCGCGGGATATGATTATGTTGATTGTTTCGCGTATGTGTTCCATTCTTCTGGAGGCAGAGTCTGGGCTCGAGCTGACACCAACGGGATGTGATGCAGGTGCCATTGCAGGGATTGGCGGGGGCGGGATCGTCACGGTCGTCAGCATCGTCGTATCTGATGTTGTGTCTCTCAAGGATCGGGGCAAGTATCAGGGGATCATCGGCGTGGTGGTCGCCGCGGGGACGGCGATGGGGCCGGTGATTGGGGGCGTATTCACGGAGAAGACGTCGTGGCGGTGGTGTTTTGTATGTACATGTACCCCCTGTCCTGTTTCTTTTCCCTCAATGCGTTCTGGATGTGTTGATATTGTGACATGCTGATCAAGCTGAAATTTTTGATCGATTTCTAGTATATCAGTGTCCCGCTCTCGGCGGTCGCGATCGTGATTGTCGCATTTGCCCTGCCGCTCAGGAAGGTCGAAGGGAATGCGATGGAGAAGATCAAGAAGATTGATGGCTGGGGGAGCTTGGTCAGCTTTGCGGCTTCGATCGCTATTCTGTTGCCGATTTCCTGGTGCGTGGGCTGGCGCTTCTGTAGTAGGCTTTTTTGGGCTGCTTCTAAGCTAACCGGGGTGTGTTTTCTAGGGCTGGAACGCGATATGCCTGGACATCGGCGGCGGTTCTGGCTCCGCTGTTGATTGGAGTCTCGCTCATCGGAGTCTTTATCTTGGTTGAAGTCAAACATGCTAGACTCCCCTTGTAAGTTGCACTTCTACATTCATTGTGGCCTAGACTGGTAGTGTGAACAACAAAAGCTAATCCATCTATCTGCATAGAATCCCATGTGCGTTCCGAAAAGTCCCCAATTCAACCTTTAACCTCCCCCCCTTTCCAAGTCCCCAAACCAATACTAACAATAAACCACCCCTAGTATCAATGTTCAAGAACACCCACGTAGCCGTGTGCATCACCACATCCTTTCTAACCGGCTTCATGACCTTTGTCAACCTCTACTACGTACTCACTCCCTTTCTTTCCCCACCATTTCTGACCACAAACCTAATTCCTTCTCAAAACGAACAGCTCCCCCAATTCTACCAAGTCGTCCAAGGCGACTCCGCCCTCCGCTCCGGGATCCTCATCCTCCCCCTCGTGCTCTCCCAGATCATCACAAGCTTCACCTCCGGCTTCCTCGTGTCCAAGTACGGGTGCTACCGCATCAATCTGATCGTCGGATACGGGCTGTGGACGATCGCCTCGGGGGTCTTCACGACCATGGACCCGACCACCCCAGCCTGGAAGCTCGTCGTCTACCAGTTGATCACCGGCTTGGGCAGCGGGCAGACCTTGCAGACGACGCTGGTAGCCATCCAGGCAGCCGTGCAGCGGCACGAGATGGCCGTCGTGACGGGCGCACGGAATTACCTGCGCATGATGGGGTCGACGCTGGCCGTGGCGGCGTGTGCGGCGATTGTGAACAATGTTGTTCGGTGGGTTTGATTCTTTTCCCCGCGGATGACTAGTGCTTGAAGTGGTTAAAATGATATGACATGTCTCGGACATACGCTAACCGTGATTCTCTGTGGTACAGTTCGAAACTCACTGACCTGGACTTTGATTCCGCTGTGATATCGTCGATTGTGTCCGACCCGACGACGATTACCTCGATGAGTGGATTGTCCGAGGTGGAGGTAGCGGAGGCGTTGGATGCGTATGGTGAGTTTCTCCTTCCCACACATACCGGTCTGCACGGCACTGACTCGTCCCGACCTCGGTCTGGATGGCTATAGCCAAAGGTGTGCAGGTCACCTACTACATGATGACGGCCTTGGCGGGAGTACAGTTTCTGCTCTGTGTGTTGTTCGTCAAGGATTACTCGTTGGAGCGCGAGGATGATGCCCGCGAGAAGGAGGCGGCGAAAAACTGGCTCCAGGAGCGGAAAAGGAAGCCAGACGGGAAGGGGGGCGTGGCGGGAGGGGTGGCTGGGGTGGAGGAGATCGAGGAGCGGCGGAAGGAGGTTGAAGATAGGGTCTAGAATGCGTCAGTTTTCTCAGTCAAGATGAAGGCTTGGAAGGAGTGAAGTCAAGTTGCGCGTTTCCGTACTGGTGGCTATTAAGGGGAAACTTTAGTGATTGGGCGTTTGTGCGAATTTCCAAGTACCGCGGGACAGTTAGAAGCAATAGACGAAGAGAGTTTCCGACAGGAAATCATGAAAGATCTTATTATTACGCTCACTCGTACCTCCCACCGCGCTGTGCTTTGATGCGCATATTTCCTCGCAAGGTCCGTAGACCGTCTCTTCTCTGTCGTGCGGAACTGCAGAAACCTAAATACAGACTATATATCTCTTTCAATCTATTGATTGGCATAAGAGATGTCCTGTTCACAGAGAATTATTATCCTCCGATCTTCTCTTCAATGTCCCCAGTGTTTAGCTTATGCACTTATTCAGGCATGAGATCAGACATCTCATATCATTGTCTCGTCAGCTGCTATCTGACTAGCTACATCACTTACCATGCTCATGTTCCATACAACTACCATATGCCACCTAGCCAATCTTTCTTCCCTCCTTCTCCTTACCCGGAACAGGTCGAATAATGTTCTTAACTACTGTACTCAACATGTTCAACAGCCTGACTCTTTACACCCCCGCTCTCACCTCCCACGTGATGTTGGTTGACCGCGTCATCTTCTTCGAATACATCAATCTTCGCGCTACGCCATTTGCGCGGATGCAGACCCGAGCTCTCGAACAGGTAATCGATCTCACGAAAGGTGCGACCTTTCGTTTCGGGTAGTCGGAAGATGCACCAGATCCAGATGAGGGCGTTGGTGCCAGCCTGCGATGATACACAAATAAGAAATAAGGTAACAACACAGGATCGTCACGCATGGATCACTCACAAACAGAAATGCGGTCTTGGCACCCAGGTTCCACGAACCACCGGTCAACATCTTCGGGATGAGCACATTGGAGACCAACGAGCTCACATTGAAAGCGACTCGAGCGAGGGAGATCATCTTGGCCCGGAGCTTGCCAGATGGGACTTCGCCCTATTTGCTCCCACATTTTCCACATCAGCACAAGTTACGGGATGGTAGCACAACTGAAAAGATGGGTGACGACTCACCACAATGGTGTACGACGACGGCGCCACCGTAGCAATATAGACCACACTTGAGACCAGCAGCAACGAGCCGACCGCATTCGACACTTGGGTACTCTGCTTGACGCA